ACCCAGGCCTCAGCAATGGCTGTGGTGTTGCTCAGCATGCACACAGCTTGTTGAACCTTGGCCAAGTCTCCACCAGGTACCACAGTGGGAGGCTGGTAATTAATATCAACTTGAAGTCAGTGGGGTACCAATCCACAAACTGGATGCTGCACTTGGTCTTGATGGTAGCAATGGCAGCATTAACATCTTTGGGAACCACGTCACCATGGTACAACAGGCAGCAAGCACTGGTCATCTCTGCTACAGAAAGCTGCTCATGGTAAGCTTTCTTAGCTGAGATGACGGGAGCGGATGTGGCCAGAAGGAAGTGGATGTGGGGATAGGGCACCAGGTTGGTCTGGAATTCTGTCAGATCAACATTCAGGGCACCATCAAATCTGAGGGAAGCAGTGATGGAGGACACGATTTGGCTAATAAGGTGGTTAAGCTTAGTGTAGGTTGGGCGCTCAATATCAAGGTTTCTATAACATATGTCATAGATGGCCTCATTGTCTACACAATCTGAGTGCTCCAGGGTGGTGTGGATGGTGAGGATGGAGTTGTAGGGCTTGCCTACAGCTGTGGAAACCTGGGGAGCTGGGTAAATGGCAAACTCTAGTTTGGAGTTCATGCCATAATCAAGAGATGCATTCCATCAGCAGGGATGTTAACCCAGAACCGGTTCTCCCACCAAAGCTGTGGAAAACCAAGAAGCCCCGAAGTCCTGTGCATTGGTCAACCAGCTTTCTAATCCGATCCAGAACCAAGTCAATGGTCTCCTCGCTGATGGTGTAGTGCCCATGGGCATTGTTATTGGCAGCATCTTCCTTGCCAGTGATTAGCTGATCAGGGTGGAAGAACTGGCGGTAGGTGCCTGTTCGAACTTCATCAATGACTGTGGGTTCCAGGTCTACAAACACTGCTCTGGGCACATACTTGTCAGCGCCTGTTTCACTGAAGAAGGTATCAAAGGAGTTGTCGCCTCCTGCAATGCTCTTGTCACTTGGCATCTGACCATTGGGCTGGATGCCATGTTCCAGACATTAGAGCTCCCAGGGGGCATTGCCAATCTGGACACCAGCCTGGCCAACATGGATGGAGATGCACTCACGCATGCTGGCATCGGGTTAGGAGGTGGAAGAGGATGCAAGAGCAGACACTGGGTCCCGGTTACCGTTCTCGACAAGCTAAGAGTCGAGGTAAGTAACGCACTGGCCCATCATTCTCTTTTCTAAGGAGCATTCTTGCGAGACTATTTCCAAGACAGGTTTGTTGGTTCTTCTCATAGTCCAAGGTACAATCAATATTATTTGTCAACACCATAATTAAGTCTTCCTTATTCAGTGTACAGCATTCATATGCATATGCTTTTTTTTTTCTTGTTAAATAAGTCAGTTCTGACTTATACCCACTATCATAGTGTTGAAGAGCAAAGATGTCAGCTTGAAGGCTAAGGTGAGCCTGACCCAAGCCATGGCATTTTCAGTAACCTCATACGCATATGAAAGCTGGACAGTGAATAAGGAAGACCATAGAATTGATGCATTTGAGTTATGGTGTTGGAGGAGAATATTGAAAGTGCCATGGGCTGCCAAAAGAGCCAATAGATCTGTTTTGGAAGAAGTGCAGCCAGAATGCTCCTCGGAGGCCAAGATGGCCAAACTTCATCTCTCATACTTTGGACATACTGTCAGGAGGGACCAGTCACTGGAGAAGGATATCATGTTTGGTAAGGTGGAGGAACAGAGAAAAAGAGGAAGACCCACCCAACGAGATGAAGTGGCAGTATCAATGGACTCAAGCGTGGCAACAATAGTGAGGTTGGCCCAGGATCGGGCAGTGTTTCGTTCTGCTGTGCATAAGGTCGCTATGGGTTGGTACCGACTCAATGGCACCTAACAACAACAACATAACCATTATGTAGTCCATGTGTGGCGCTGCGTGTTAATGCGCTGGACTGCAAGGTTGGTTTGAACCGCAAGGTCAGCGGTTCTAGCTTAGCAGCTACTCCTCGGAAACCTTATACAGGGTCTCTAAGAGTCAGAAATGATTTCAAGCACTTCACAACAGCATAACCATTATGAAGTTCCCATTTGGTGTTGTAAGATAAACACTAGACTGCTAACCCCAAGGTCGGCAGTTAAAATCCATCAGCAGCTCCTTGGAAACTCTAAACAGGATCCTTATGAGTCAGAACTGACTGGACAGCACTTAACAACAACAACAACTTAACTATTATGTTTTTAACTCAATTAGAAAAGATGATCCAGAAAAGAGTGTAGTATGTTGGTTCATAAGAAAATAAAAGTCAGCATCATGAACATACACTGAATGTCCAATTCCACTGCAGACAGAAGCATCCCAGTTGTTGGTCACACCAGACTTTATCATGGCTGCTTGTACTGGACAATGTGAATTAAACACTGCCACTTGGAGTCCTGATTGCTAACTGCAGGGTTTGAGGTTGAAAGCCACCAGCTGCTTCTTGGAAATCCTATTAGGGTCAAGATGAATCTAAAGCGACTCAGCAGCATTTAACAACAACAACTGAGAAAAATGCAACCACCAGTCCAAACAGCATCATATTATGTAAAGTGTACAGAACTGAGCTAGAGGACATTTACTTCTACTTGTGCCTCCCTCTTACCTATACCTGCTGAATGACACATCCATATTCCCTAGGTCTGTTTCTCTAAACATAAAATTAGGAAAATATATCTAATGTACATAGTAGTATTTCTATCTCAAACTAAACTCACTGTTATCCAGTTAACTCATAGTGACCCTATACAGAGCAGGACAGAACTGCTCCAGAGGGCTTCCAATGTTGTACATCTATGGAAGCCAACTGCCACATCTTTCTTCCATAGAGAGGCTGGTGGGTTTAAACTGCTAAACTTTTCAAAGTTCTTTAGTAGCGTTGCCTCTGGGGCTCCTAACACAATCCTATCAAGCCCACGTAAACAGAAGCAGACATGTTTTGCTTTGGGTCTTCCCAAGTTATTAATACATGAACAGCATTAATGATTGGGGGTAGGATGCTGCTAAAAGAAGGTTCACAGCCAGTGGAAAAAAGGGTATTCTAAGAGCAAGGAACAGAATCCAAAACTAGATTCAAAGACTACAAAGCAATGATACTCATCAGATGACATATGGGCAAACATACTTCCAAACTTTTATCACTCTAACATGCTTTAGCCATGTTGTAGTATGCTTCAATACCTACTAATTGTAATGCTGACTCCCAGGCCCCAAGAAAAAGTCTAATTGTGTTTTTGGTACTCTGGTTATAGACAGCTTAACTCTGAAAGGAAGCAGTTTATGGTTACCATCATTTAAAATAAGCAAAATGAATTAAACTTCAGTTATGAGGGACAAGAAATCAAACTAGCCAGGACTGTTGTCTCCTTCAGATGAGAGGTCCCTAAAGAGTCTACTGTCTACTGTTCTTCAGAGTGCGGCAGTGGCATCTTTATGCACATGTAAGATAATATAAGGCAATGAGGCCTTGTCCTGTGCACAAGTTTCAACTGCTATACTTCCTTAATAAAAACAATTTTTTAAAAAAAGCATATGGTGGAACTTCCATTTAGCAAAACTTTGAAGGCACCAGAATATTTCTGCATTTAGATAGATGCCCACCTGGCTAGAATAAAAGAAAATACTGCCTGAATAGAAATGGCATTTTTATAAACATCAAAACTTGGTTATACTGAGAACTCTAATGACTTTAATGCAAAAATCATAAAACAATTTCTATGTGAAAACATTCAATTACACAGTGTGCTCAGCATGGATCACTGGTGCTCAAAAAATAATTGGTTTGCATTTTGTTCTGTGGGAAAGAAACAGGGTGAGTAGGCAGGGGTTTTCTGACTAGAGGTCATTTATTCAAACCCAGAAAAAACGTGAGCACTTTGAATCACCTGGAATCCTAAGATGCTCCTATAAGTTTTTCCGGAGAAGTCAGTAACAAAAAAAAGTAAAACAGTTCTGAGATTGTGTACATTTTTTCCCGTCCCACTTGAAGTCAAAAATACTTTCAAGAGTATGTCATAGTAATAACCATTATGACAAATAAACAGCCACTTACAAACAAAGTCTGTATTCCTTTTGGAACTCTAAGTCAACTGAATATGAGACCTCTCTGACAGCTCTGTTAAGCATGACCTGCCTTCCAGGTGCTCAGAGAGCAGCTGGCAGGAGCACATGCAAGTGCCACATGGCACAACAGCCACAAATTCCCCCAAAGTCTACACAATGTCATGTTACAACCAATTAAGTGGCTACTTGCCTCAGAAAACACCCTCACCACTTTCATCAACACTTAATGATGCCAGGAGGGTTTTCCATAGCCTTTTTCACCTAAGAATCAGTCTTTCTATTCCTGGAACTAATTTCAGCTTCATTGCAACTTCTCTGAGTATATTCCCTTTACTTGCTTGGTTTTCCAATGAAACAAATAGAAATTATATTAAGACCACAAATGAAAGCCTCAAAACATAACAGCAGGATGCCCAGAAATCTAACACAGGTTGTCTCTAAGTTTATTATATTACAATGCAAAATGTCTTTTGGGAAAATCTTATGTGGAAATTTTAATGAATAAGAAAGGTGAAAAAAAAAAAAAAAAGTCACACAACTAAAAGAGAAACTTCATGAGAAAAGGGAACTGAAGAATATGATCTATTCCTGGCTTTGTCATTTAGGATATAATAATAATACCGCTAATTTGTCATCTCCTCTGAAGAACACATACCACCATAGGATGTTATGGGCCCCACATCATCAGATATTTTGAGCATTTCAGGAAAAGCCAGGGAAAAGCAACTTAATGCTTTGCACATTTGATCACAATTCTAGGAAAGAACTCTTTAGGAGAATAATGAAATTGATGAATCCCTCCCTGTTTGGTTAGAGCATTCATATTCCTTCCATTTGATTTCCTGTCCAAAGAGATCCCATTACTTCCAACCACCTCATAAAGAAAACCCCAAGGATTACATCATTCTAGCACTTACATTCAAAGCATTCTTTGCAGCTTCTGCTTCTGAGCGACTGTCAAAACTGACAAAACCTACGGGCTGAAGAAATAAAAAAAGAAAATGTTTAGAACAAAAAAAATCAATAGGACGTATAATTCTCTGGGTCAAAGGTATTGATAAATCAAAGCATAAAGATAGAGAAATGCCCACAACCAATGGGTCAAAATAAGAATGTCAGCCAGAAAAATCATGACTCAGTGCCTTAGTCAAATTTTTGACATGAATCAAAAGGAGTCATGAGGTCGTGAGGGTGATTCTTCAAGGGCAGATGTAGGGATTTAGAGAGTCATAAAAAAAACAAATAAACACTAAAAAACACCTAGAAGGGGTTGGAAGGTGAGTAGAAGTAAACAAGGGAACAGAGGAAAACTGGGGTCAGAGAGGATCTACTTTCCTAAATCAAATTCACTGTATGGCAGAGCATCTTCATCTTTTACACCTTTTGGTACACTGTTTAGGTGCAAGAAATATAATGATACAGTAATATAAAGCCTTGTTACTTTCATAAATAGACGGAACTTACAAAAATATTTCCATCTCAAATATCAAGGGATGCCTCAAAAAAAAAACAAAACACAAAAAAAAACAACAATTGGTGTTTCATTAGGTATTTAGCACCACTTGATTTCAGATAAAGATACCTTTGGAACTTAATTTTTTTGCTTGTCCATGAGGTTGCTTTCAATATTTCTGATGAACTAGAAAATTTCCTTATTGAGAGATAAAAAATGAGGCAAGAATGTCAAGTGTTCAGATTTTAAAAAAACACACAAAAAAGCATGTATCTAAATATCTTCAACAAGTTTACAGGAACTGATTATCACCTCAGTCCCAAACCTTCTAAGCTCCACTCTGGTAGACTTTGTACTCTGCCCATACATATGAGGGGGTTTAAAAAGTTCAGTGAAAATTGGAATGAAAAGACAATGGAATTTTTCCACTAACTATTTGAAGGCCCCTCGTATTAGGAGTTTTAAAGACAGCATGATTTTTCATCAAGCTCACCAGCTGCTCCTTGGAAACCCTATACAGGGTCGCTTTGGGTTGGAATCGACTCGATGGCATTTAAAAACAACAATACTCGTATAGATTGTTAAAAGTTTGCGTTTGTAACTTCACAGAAACAGGAAAAAAAGGCAATAAAAAGTGAATGTGAGTGATAATTAATCCATCATTTCCTTTTAATATAAAACCCAATATAAGCATGATCTTTCAATCTTGTTGTGTATGTGTAGAGGGGTGTGCATTGTGTTTCCATTTCCTAAGAGCACTTCCAAACATTCTAGTTGGATATAATGAGTCAGTAATCACTTAGCTGTGCTAATTCCCAACCATTTAACTCTTACTTTTAAGTCAACAACAAAAATAAAATTCTAATGGCAATACAAGAGAATAATGGGGCTTGGTTACATTCCTGGGCAAGGTTGATCCAAAGTCAATATAGAAGTGATAATTTATACACAAGTCTGGTTCTTACCTGCTTAGATGTGAGCTTTATAAGAGAACCCTCATAGCCCTGAAAATAAAGAAGAACCAAGTTTAGCCAACAAGTTACTAGAGAGGAAGAAAAACAACAAAAACACCAGCAGCATCTTACCCAGGTAAAAGTGAGTCGCTTAATGAACATCTATTTAATCTCCTCACAAATGTCTCTTATGTAAACCGGAAAGCAAACACAAATAGATAAAAAGATAGATAGGTAGAAAGACAGACAGACATAGATGCCTAGATTTTTATCTTAAGAGCCTAAAAGAACAAAGCCTTAAAATTCATGCATTGATGTTTTTCTTCTTTATATTTGTTCATGAAGTTATGCTATGATAGTGAAATTATGACTAGCTCCAACAGATAATAAGGACGATGGAGAACTAGGAAAAAGGTGGGATTGATTTAATAAGGATGAGGTCAGAGCATGTGATTTTTAGACCAGATATGAGAGACAAAGTCTGGCCATCCTGGCTTCCAAGGAGAACTCTGGCTGTATTTCTTCCAATACAGATGGTTTTGTTCTTTTGGCAGTCCATGGTTCTTTCAATAATCTCCTCCAACACCATAACTCAAATGCATCAATTCTTGTACAATCTTCCTTATTCACTGTCCTACTTCCACATGTATATCAGGTTATTGAAAATATCATGGCTTGGGTCAGGTGCACCTTAGTCCTCAAACTAACAACTTCGCTCTTCAACACTTTTAAAAGGTCTTGTGCAACAGATTTGCCTAATGAAATATGTCGCTTGATTTCTTGACTGCTTCCTTAAGTGTTGATGATTGATCTAAGAAAAATGAATTCTTTGACAACTTCAATCTTCTCTCCGTTGATAAGAATGTTGTTAATTGGTCCAGTGGTGGTGAGGACTTTTGTTTTCTTTACAGTGAGATGCAATCCATACCAAAGGCTGTTTGTGCTCTTTGATCGTCATCAGTAAGTATTTTAAGTCCTCGTCACTTTCAGCAAGCAAGGTTGTATCATCTGCACATTGCAAGTTGTTAATAAGTCTTCCTCCAATCCTGATGATACGTTTTTCTTCATACAGCCCACCTTCTTGGATTATTTGCTCAGCATACAGTTTGAATAAGTATGGTCAAAAATACAGTCCTGTCGGACACCTTTCCTAATTTTAAACCATTAAATGTTTCCATGTTCTGTTCAAATAACTACCTCTTGGTCTATGTACAGGTTCCTTATAAGCATAAATGTTTTGGAATACTCATACTATCAATGTCCATAGCTTGTTATGATCCACACAATTGAAAGCCTTTGTGTAGTCAATAAAGCACAGGTAAACATCTTTCTGGTATTCTCTACTTTCAGTTGAGACCCATCTCACATTAGCAATGATATTCTTTGTTCCAAATCCTCTTCTGAATCCGGCTTTAATATCTGGAAATTGTCTGTCAATGTATGGTTGCAGCCATTTCTGTATTACCTTAGTAAAACTTTACTCGCATGGGATATCAGAGAGATTGTCAGATTATTTCTACATTTGATTGGGTCACCTCTCTCTGGAATGGGCACAAATATGGATCTCCTTCAATCAGTTGGCCAGACAGCTGTCTTCCAAATTTCTTGGCATAGATAAGTGAGTGCCTCCTATGCCGCCTCACTTTCTTGAAAGACTTCAATTTTCATTCCATCAATTCCAGGTGCCTTGTTCTTTGCCAATTCCTTCAATGTACTTTGGACCTCTTTGCTCAGGACCATTGGCTCTTGATCATATGCTACCTTCTTGAAATGGGAGAACATTGACAGTTTCATTTAGCGACCCCATATAGAGTTTCTGAGGGGCAACAGGTGATTTGGAACTGCTGACTTGGCGGTTCAAACCGTCCTTGCAATCCAGTGCTTATCCTACAGTGCCATACCAGGACTCCTAGTTTAAAATCGTTTTAGACTCATAGCGACCCTGTACAGGGTTTCCAAGGCTGTAAATCTTTACTGGAGCAGAAAGCCTCATCTTTCTCCCGTGGAACAGCTGGTAATTTCGAACTGCTGACCTTGAGGTTAGCAGTCCGACTCAAAACCACTACGCTACCAGAGCTCCTTGAGAATTAAATGAGATAATATATACAAAGAGTTTGTTTGTGGATCTATTTTTCCTGTAAGTACAAACACTGTTGTTGTGTACCATTGAGTTGAGTGGCTGGTGGGTCTGAACTACTACTGATCTTTTGGTTAGCAGTTCAGTATTTATCCTACAGTGCCACATAAGAAATTTAAAAAAAAACAAACCCAAAAACATTCGTGGATAAATTCCAGGGAGCTGCTGGTGGGTTTAAATCACCGACCTTGCTTAATAGTCCATTGCTTACCCTACAGCACAACAAAACACACAGTAGTATTTTTTCTTTTAAGGAAGATCAATTCGTTTATAAAAAGTCATCACTCTACAAAATGACAAGACAGCCGAAACTGCTACCCTGTAGAAGAAACGCAGGACATTCTATAAAGTTGACATTGTCTCCACAATACTTGTTGTTTTCCACTTTCTCTCAGCTAATCTGAGGTTTAACCCCTCTGCTGTCCTCTGTGAGGGCTTCAGAACTCATTACTGCTACATTCAGGGGTTGGGCTGTCTGAGTGGAGTTATGTTCATTACTACATGGTACCTTCTTGGCTTAAAGCTAGACTCTATTTTATCTTTGTCAGTTGTAACTGGCTTTTCCTACCCAGGTGTTTTCAGTTTTCACATCCTACTTCTTATTCCTAAGGAACTACTTCCTGTCCCGTAACCTGCCTCTGGCTGGGATCCAGTTTCAACCAGGACGTCTAAGATGAGCCCGTAACTAATCCTAAGTGAACGAACATTATAACTAGCAGACAGTGCTGCTGACATACCTACATAGAACAGCTCAGCCCTGCTATATATACATGCCCTGAGTTCACATTCTGCTCTTTCCAGTGTACTTAACCCTATTTTCCGAAGGCTAATCTTCAAAGCTGCTCCTTGAAAGAATAGTTATTTCAGCTTTATGCCAGTTTCCTCTTAAGTTTTCAATCTCATCCACATTAAGTATATTGAAAAATATTTCATTTCCATAGTTACCACAGACAAGCAGTTGAGTCAGTATTTCACTAAGCATCAGGAAAAATTCCCCTCAACTCAAACCAAGACATTTGTCTTAAAATGTCCTTTCTACTTTGTTTGAAATGTAGGGACATGTTTTCCCATAGTAAAAATAATGATGGCTGGATTCTTGGCCCAGTTGATTAAAGTCTATTTCAGCTATAATGTCTTCAAACAATAGAACTAACAGAATTATTTCAACCAATAAAGGATTGATTTATGCAATTAATCTAACAAGAGGGCTTCAGAAAGTTTACGGAAAAATTCCATTGTCATTCAATTTAATTCATCCATGACTTTTTTTCAAGTCCAATCACATAAATAAATTGTTAAGTAATTTTTATATTATTGGTGATCTGTACTCAGAATCACACCCACAAATGCAGTAAGATAAATAGGGTGATCTGAGTTTAAAATAGACAGTTGGGGTCAATTTTATGTCCACATTAGTCACTGGAGGACAAAAGAAAGTTTCAGTCTCCCCTAACTGACATTATATCTACATTAGAGTTGAGCTGTTACAATTTTCTTTCTCGTTAATCTTTTAAAAGCATCACTTCTCAAACCTTTCATATCTTTCTCCAAAAAACCCCACGAAGCACACAGTACATAGACATTTTACAATTTCTGAAAAACAGGCAAAAGTACCTTAAACGGTCTGAAAAGCAGGTAGAGCTCCCGTGGTTTGATATCTAGAGGGAGACCACTGACAAATAGGGTTCGGACCTGGAAAAATAAAGTTGAGAAATGGTCAAGAGTGTGGACAATCCAGAGAACAATGCTTACCTAAAATCTCAAAAAACACATTTCTCCATATATTCCATAACTCTTACCCAAAACAAGCTGTATCCATGACTACAAACATTCTAATATCAAGGTACCATTAAACCAACTGTTCAGTATTTCTAAAAAGATCATTCAGAGTGAATTACCACTATCAAATTTAAATTCCCACCACCAGTATGTGAGTTGTATGTACTAGTATGATCACACCTTCAACCTTGCATACTGCTATGATGCTACAACTATGCCACAAATATTTCGAATACCAGCAAAGTCATCCATGCTGGGCAGGGTTCAGCAAAATTTAAGAGGCTAGGAACAAAGACTGGCCAATCTACTACAAAAAGTAACCAATGAAAATACCCTGAGGATTGTAATGCCAGACAATGAATCTCCAAGGTTAAAGGGCACTACACATAAGACACAACAATAGGCTCAATCTTACTGGTGATGAGAGGGCTGAGCACTGTGTGTTCTGTTATACATGGAGGGCACCTCGACAAGCAACTACCAATGACAATCAAATTTGCATACTAACTTCCTTTTATAAACAGCCAATGCCAGGTTTTGAAAATATTTAGAGGGTTCCATATAATTAAGATATACGCTTCAGAGAGAAAAAAAAAAAAAAAAAAAAGAGTTATAAACCTGTCACTCCTTTGCCCTAATCATATTACCATATAACATACTGCAAAAATAAAAAGGGAGGCAACTCTTTCAGAATGTGTGCGGGAAGGTAGAATTCCCACTGAACAGTTTACATCTTGTCTAGATGGGTCTAATGAAAGGAGATAGGATGCGATTCTTATGCTTCAATAGTGAGTACTGTTATCATGACTAATTGCAACTGTCACAACTGTAAAGGTAGAGGTTTTGTAACATAAAGGTTGTTGTTCTCAAGTGCCATCATCGAGTTGGTTCTGACCCACAGCGACCCTGTATAGTGTCTCCAAGGAGCAACTGGTGAGCTTGAACCACCAACCTTGTAGTTCAAATGGCTTAGCAGTGTGGCACATTAACCCACAGCACCACACAACATAAAGGTTGTTGTTGTTGTTATGTGCTGTGGAGTCGGTTCTGACTAATAGCGACCCTGTACAGGGTTTCTGAGGCTGTAAATCTTTACGGGAGCAGAAAGCCTCATCTTTCTCCCGCAGAACAACTGGTAGTTTTGAACTGCTGACCTTGTGGTTTGCAGCCCAATTCGTAACTACTATGCTACCGGAGCTCCTTGAAAGGTAGAAGTAGTTAATCTAACATTCCAGGAACTGAGGACCCTAGGACCACCAGGGGAGAAGAGCATGAGCAGAATGTGGGACCTAACTATAGAAGCTGTGACACCAGTGATGAGGCAGATATAAGTACCTGAAAACTCTAGATTCATGGAAAGTGAAAGGCTGTGTGCTGATGGCCAAGAGACAGACTTGTAGAATGTGCCCATAGGTTATTTAAATATTATATAAACCAGAGGGAATAGAAGCCAATACTGTTGAATGATGATGCACTGAGAGAATTGTAATCATTGCAATGAAACGAAATACAGTATGATGAGTGCAAACTGGATGTTCTCCCACATAAACTATCACTCAATTCACAATAAAAGCTTTCTTTAAAAAACAAACAAATACCTCCCAAAACTGAGACTTGGTAGAAATGCACGCTCGGATTGGTAAACACACGCATCACCGTTGGGGAGAAATGGGGTAAAAGCAGCAATGATGCGGCAAGCTAAGCCTTACAATATTCAGTGGGCTTCTGTGGACCTGGTTGGCAAGCAGTGCGAGGAGACCCGAGGAGGACTCCTGGGCCCAGAGTCAGTGACGTGGCCACGGAGGACTCAAGTGGAGAACGAAGCTGCCGGCTGATGGGAAGAGAGGGCTTGTGCACAAGAACACCCACACTTGCAGATGACACCCACGTGACCGGGACTGGATGACTGGATGATCAGAGCTCAACCAGGAGAAGAAAGAAGGGGAGGCGGGGGGAAAGAAGACTAAGCTGATCCAAGCTGATGAACTTAACCTATGTATATGAATGCAGTGACACAAAAGAGGCAACAAATCCTTACAGCAAGAAACATTCCCACCCCCTCCACACACAGAGTAGACAGAGAGGGGCAACTTGGACATTGGATACCCAAATGGGGAGGGAGGGACTACAAAGGCAAGAAGTAACTGGCTTACAAGCTTTTAAGAGGGAACCTAGAGCTAGTGGGCATGGAGGAAGACCGAATCACCAGTGAGTACTATCCAATTTGTCTAGGAGAAGCTGATGAAATGAAATACAGATGGGTTACATGCGATACTGTAGTGAATAATGGTTATCAAGACGGATTGTGAGTGTTGGAAATGCAAGTGTAGATGTTTTGTAGCAAGGAAGAGAGCGATTATTTCTCCAGTCTAGGAGCAGAGGTCTCTGGGACCACCAAAGGATAAGAGCCAAGAACGGGACCCCACCCAGAGAACCAGGGATGCCTGAGATGGAGACAGAGATGATGACAAGGAGGGATGAAGCAGCTGGGGACTTTGGATCCAGAGAGGGAGAGGAACTGTGGGATGAAGACTGAGAGGGTAGGGGGTAGGGTAGAGCACAGGCTTCTAGGATATGCCATTTGGTCAGAAGATGATGCATGGAGGGGATTGGAACCATGGCAATGTAATGATATACGATGGAATGAATATGGAACTGAGGTTCTCTCATGCAAAACAAACACAACTCTTGCTTTCTCCTGCTTTTAACTTACGGGTACTAATCATTAAAATAGTTTCAATAAATGTAAAAATACTGGTAACAATTCAAACAAATCTAAATAGTATCCTAAATGCTACTGTGCAACTACTCAACAGGGCAGAATTTACTGACTGGGTTCTAGTTCACTGACTGAGTTCTCCTGCATTTACTTCACTGACTGGGTTATTCAACTCTTGTTCGGTTCTTCTACAACACAGGTATACCTGCTAGGTGCAACTCATAATTCATTCAAGACAGACCTATAGAACCCACAGACCTAGGAAACCAACATCTAACCATTCACCCTGCCAACTGTGGTCTTAACAGACACTGAAAACAGCTCCACCAAGGCCTCCGTTAACTACTTCCAGATTTAACATAGATAACAGAGTTATTGGAACTTAGACAACCCAACCCAGGCAGATAGGAACTACATCCAGGGCCAGGAAGTCTGCTGTCACATCCCTCCCACACTCACCTCATGAGCTCCTTGGATTGCAGGAGCCCAGGACAATTTTCTCCTCTAAGGGTCCAAGACAGCTGCACTGTTTTTTTTTTAATCCTTCTGTTTTCCTTTTGTCATTTCATTGCTTTTGTTTGTTTATTCTTTCTCCTCCTCTTTCCATTCTCTTGAAATTTATCCTTTCTAGCTCTGCTTTTGTTTTTCCTTTTCTGTTTCTCAACCCCCTTCTTTTCCCCTCCTTTGATCTTTTTTTACTACTCTTTCACTTTTCATCTTCCCTCTCCCTGGTTTTTCTAAGTTTTTAAAGATTCCTTCCTTTAATACTCCTATTTTTCTCTTCTATAAACTCCATTTTCCTGTGCCTCTTTTGTCTTTATAGTTAGGATGCTCTATTTTTTCGTGGTTGTTGCCTGATTTCTTTTTTTCTCTTTTCATTGTTGGCTGTTTGTTTGTGTTTCTTGTGTGTGAGAGAGGGTTTCTTCTCTTTCTCACCCTACAGAAGACATCAACTCTCCCATATAGCCCAACTGGATAAGAGCAAATAACAACTTACCTGACAAACACTAGCCAGCAGCTAAACCCACCATAAACTGAGGTACATGAATGATAAACGAGAATGGTGGGCAAGCTTGAATTCTCTAACTACACCCTGGAGACACTTGGTGAGAACCTATGTATATACCCACATGCAATCAACTAAATACAAATAAGACAACACCACAATGCCTCGGAGACAAGAGACAATTTTAACTAACACAAAGAAACTAGACAGAATGGCTCTAACAAATGACCATGATACACAGACAGGCAATCTTTCTGAGGAAGAGGTAACAGAACTAATTGAAAAATAATTCAAAAGAATACTTAGGTGCATTCAAAAGACTGACAGAAAGGTGTAGAAGAATTGAAGAAAACACTACAAAAACAGACAAAATAAATGCAAATTTTAAATAATACAAAACCTGCAATTAGCAATCCAAATGATTAACTCAAAAGATTTCAGGAATGGACAATACATTGAAAGGGTAAAGGAGAAGACTGAAGTTCAAATTAGAGAGCTTTCAATACTAGTAAGCTAGAACAACCAGAAAAAATAATGGAAAAAATCCAAAGGAAGCTTAAGAGTTATGTGGACACCATGAACAACTCGTGGGTGACTAGAATTCCAGAACAAAAAGAGACAATGAAAAACAACACAGAACACTGTCAGAGAGTTGTTGGAAGAAAATTTCCTTAACATCATGATAGATGAGAAGATAATACAAGAAGCTGAATAAACACCAAACAGGATAGATTACAAGGAGCTCTGGTAGCATAGTGGTTACGAATCGGGCTGCTAACCTCAGGGTCAGCAGTTCAAAACTACCAGTTGTTCCGTGGGAGAGAGATGAGGCTTTCTGCTCCCGTAAAGATTTACAGCCTCGGAAACCCTGTACAGGGACTCGCTATGAGTCGGAACCGACTCCACGGTACATAACAACAACAACAGGATAGTTTACAAAAGAAAATCACCAAATATATCAAAATCAAACTTTCCAAAGTCAAAGACAAGGAAAGAATGCTGAAAGCAGTTCGTTAAACACAAAGTTACCTAAAAAACAGAACCTATAAGACTAAGTAATTTTTAATGATGATACTAACTTTACCAAAAAAAAAAGCTAAAGGGTGTTGTTTGGACTTAAGAACCAACAACAGTAGACAACAACCTGAAATTAACACACATGACAACACCACCCAAAACTCAATTCAG